TATAATTCGCGCGTTTACATTTTATCTCAATTTTAATCCTGTAAAAGCGTTTTCAAATCCGTTCAGTCGTTTCGGAGTTATTACTTAGAATGCAAATGTCGGTATTTCCGACCTTTCAGCATCCTCTTAATAAGGAAATATTATAATAAATAATAATATATATATTTTTAATTTGTAAATTCACTATATTATATTATATACTAAGATTTATACATACACTGCATATACATATTTTAAATTTAAATATAAACTTTTATTAAATAAAAGACAATTAGATTTTGTTTAATCTTTTATAAATTGTATGTACTTTTATAATTATAATATATGAAAATTGTTCTGTAACTGGTCGAAAAATTAAAAAGGAGATTCTATATTACAAAATAAGCAAAAAATATAAAGTAAATTTTTCTTTACAAGACTTTATTTTAAAAAATTAGTTCTGAATGGAAAATTAATAGCTGTATATTTTAATTTATATAACTAAATTTATTATCATGTGTCTCGCCGCTTCGAAGAACACGTTTCTTTATCACATCAGCAGGTACGGTCTTCAAGTCATAAGCCAAGCCCAAATAAGCGAAAAAGTCAATGAAAGCTGTAGTAAAATTAAGTCCATAATTTCCAAGTTCCGCTGCTTTATAATCCCAAGGAAAGACGTGATGATAGTTATGCCAACCTTCGCCGAACGCTGCTATAGCAACTCCACTATTATTGGTAGAACTGAGTGATCTGTGTAATAAAATAAATATTTCTAAATAACAACAATATTACATATCATAATATATAGAGACTATTGTAAATATTTTATTATTTTTATAGTTTTATACAGGGTGTCACCCGCAATCGGAACACACTATCAGATTAAGCGTTTTATCCCGAATCTATAGAGCCTAATAATTTGTTGATTTGCAGCGTAGTTCATTAATAAACTGTTTTTAAAAATTAATTTTATAATAAATAACAATAATTTCTTACAATATTAGTAATACATATAAACATTTTTTATTTGTGTCATTCACTGTGTTTCAAATTATTCTATGTATTACTAATATTGTAAGAAATAGATCGGAAGAGCAC